GTCCCTTCCACTAGGCAGGGGGGTTGGAACTAGATGATCTTTAAGGTCCCTTCCAACCCAAACCGTTCTGTGATTCTATGATTCTATGCTCAGTTCAGGCCCTAATTACGCTTTGCAGATGATTAAAGCACCTCTGCTTCTGGGTAGGGAAATACTCCCCAGGCTGTGGTGTAATTGTCTAGGAAACGCTGCCTGCCCCGAGTTCCAGCTGTAGCTCAGCTAACCCCGCTCCTCACAGATGGATTAGATGCATCCTCTCCTCTCTGATGTGCAGCAGCCACAAATCAAGTAGTGAGGCTGCACTTGGGGATAATCAGGATATAAAGCACCAAAGAGTTTTCTCCGGGGCACCTCCCACAAAGAGGGGGAAAAAAAAGACTGTTTTGTTCATCCCTGACTGCAGAGGGAAGCTGCTGCTTTCTTCACGGCAGGATCCTGAGGGATCCATTCCCCCTTCTGTGCCACAGTGTGCGAAGCAAATCTGAATTAGACACAGTACGTGGCGTGCAGCCACGTCTCCTAACTACAGCAGGATAAAAGATAGCTGTAATCCCAGCGAGGTGGGTTAGGGTTGGCGAACGAATGCTCTGGGGAAGAAACCCGGCTGGATTTGGGTGGCTTGGTAGAGAGCAAGCTGGAGAGGCAGAATGGGGCGGATCCAAGGCTTCTCAGGGAAAATCTTCAAAGAGAGCAAGCTGGAGAGGCAGAATGAGAGGCAGAATGGGGCCGATCCAAGGCTTCTCAGGAAAAATCTTCACAGCCCAGGTGGGGTAAGGAGTGAAACCCAGTTGAGGGAGGAAGGAAAGCACTGAAGGATGGTGTTGTACCGCCTTTCTCACCTCACACCACAGTTCTCGGCTCTGTAACCTCCACGTAACTGAGCACCATCTTCTGAAAGAGAACCACTCCTGCTTTTCAGGTGACTCAATGCCTCAAAGTGTTTAAAGCATCATTAGGCTCCAAGATTTTATGCCTGGCAGCCCTGGAAGGGTATGGGATGGCACAGTGGAGACTGTGGATCGAGTTTCAGTAGTGTGTGCAAAGAATTCCCATTCACTGCTGGCATCCAGCTGCAACAGCCTTAGCCCCGACATCCACTGGACATACAGGAAGAAAAGAGATCCTATTGCTTTGGATAGAGAACAAAGAGTTAAACCAGCCTGACCTGTGAGCCCCCAAGGTCTGCTTGGCTCCAGAGAAGTGTCTGCTTCCCACACACCGCTCGTCTCCTTTTTCCAGGGCTCTCAGCACCGAGTCTAAGTGGCTTCGTGACTGATTTGACTTTTCTGACCAACGAGCTGGGAGGCGAATGTTACCTCATGCAAGAGGGAAAGGCACACTGACCGCAGTCACACAGCAAGCCTGTTGTAACAGCAGTAAGAGAACTTCGACTTGCAAAGCCCTGGTTTTGCTCACACAGAGGTTTTACTCAGGAGCCCGTTAGGAGACCGTCTTGTCTAACCCCCCCGTGGCTGCGGCAGAAATGGGAAGATGAATGTTGCTACCCAGTAGTTGCATCATGTTTGCAAACCTGGGTTAAAATGAGATTTAAAAAAACCCAAAACCACATTGGGAAAGTGGAAGGGGGATAAAAGGCAATTGAATCCTTTGGAGAACGAGAGGTCTGAGTTTCTTACACCTCTGGAATTTGGGGCAGGGGCCAAAGGCAATGTATTTGATCCATCTTGCTTTGCCTGTAGCACAGTCTCCCTGCACATCTACCAGCGTGAAAGCTGAGGCTCAGCTTTTCCCTGGTGAGACTGGTGCCTCGACAGCATCACCCTGTGACCTGAGCCTGGCGCTTGCTCCCAGCAGGCACAAGGACCTCGCGCTTGCTCCCAGCAGCTTTCCTTTCCGGCTGATGCAGGGGAAGTCCCGTGCCCTGTGACCGCTGGCATCCCTCCAGCCGCCTCTGCTTGGCCCTTTCTGGCTGCAGGGAGCAGAGTGGAAGTTGGACAACAAATACAACATATCCTCCGGCCAGGGGGGAGGAATTCCTGCCGCGAACGCATGCACCATCCAACTCCTGGCTCGAGCAACATCTTGCTGCGGTCGCCATGGGGATAGTGATGTGGCAGGAAAAACTACGCTGGAAACAAGGTGCGTATCTGGGGGATGGGGCAGGGAGAGGAAGGAGCGGTGTAAGCAAAAGCAGGAAATGTTACAGTGAGCCAAATGAGACTCCAGGGAGAGGTTTCCTTCAGGGACTAATGATCCGGC